CCAGTACTGTTTCAACTTTAACCGCACTCCTACACCGTACCCAGTACTGTTTCAACCTTAACCGCACCCCTACACCGTACCAAGTACTGTTTCAACCTTAACCGCATCGCTACACGTACCCAGTACTGTTTCAACCTTAACCTCATCGCTAAACGTACCCAGTACTGTTTCAACCTTAACCGCACTCCTACACCGTACCCAGTACTGTTTCAACCTTAACCGCACCCCTACACCGTACCAAGTACTGTTTCAACCTTAACCGCACTCCTACACGTACCCAGTACTGTTTCAACCTTAACCGCACTCCTACACCGTACGTAATACTGTTTCAACCTTAACCGTACACCAGAACTGTTTCCACCTTAACCGCACCCCTACACGTACCAAGTGTTGTTTCAACATTAACCGCACTCCTACACCGTAACCAGTATTGTTTTCAACCTAACCGCACACCTACACCGTACCTAGTACTGTTTCAACCTTAATCGCACCCTTTCACCGTACCCAGCATTGTTTCAAGCTTACCGCACCCCTACACCGTACCCAGTACTGTTTCAAGCTTACCCCACCCCTACACGTACCAATTACTGTTTCAACCTTAACCGTAACCTACACCGTACCCTGTATTGTTTCAACGTTAACCGTACCCCTACACCATACCAAGTATTGTTTCAACCTTAAACGTACCCCGATACCGTACCCAGAACTGTTTCAGCCTTAACCGTACCCCTACACCGTACCAAGTACTGTTTCAACCTTAACCGCACCCCTACACCGTACCCAGTACTGTTTCAACCTTAACCGCACCTCTTCATCTTACCAAGTATTGTTTCAACCTTAACCGCACCCCTACACCGTACCCAGTATTGTTTCAACCTTAACCGCACCCCAACACGTACCAAGTGTTGTTTCAACCTTAACCGCACCCCTACACGTACCAAGTGTTGTATCAACCTTAACCGCACCCCTACATCAAGCATACTGCACCCCTACATCGTACCCAGTACTGTTTCAACCTTAACCGTACACCTACACCGTACCAAGTACTGTTTCAACCTTAACCGCACCCCCACACCGTACCCAGTACTGTTTCAACCTTAACCGCACCCCTATACCGTACCCAGTACTGTTTCAGCATTCAAAAAAACTCAAATTCAAATTAACGTTTCTTTATATATGATGTTATAATATAAATATGTTTATAATGTGAAAAATATGGCCTAATTTTCGATGTTTCACCTCATATTTATTATTGTCATTATATTGAATTTTGTAAAGATAACACTCCCTGATTAACAACTGTAACTGATATTGGCCGGTAGTTGGATTACATCTGTATATTATATATTATTTATTTTCTACCGTTTATAGAACCTCATCAAAGCCAAATTAATTGCAAACACATCAAATATATATAGACAATTACATGCCTGATACGTACACTCACTTACCTATTTGGTCTCGAAATAACTAAATAAATAAATAGCTAGAAGATTGAGCGGCAGATATAAGACGCTAGTTATCATACCATTTTAATTGGCATACATTTTATATGTATTTGAAGCCGACAATGAAATATAGTGGAACAATTTTCGCCACCAATTCTAACATTTTCACATAGAGCATTTATCGTATAACAATGAAGTTTTTGATTTACAAATGAAACAGCATATCCCTGTAGAAAGCATAAATTCTTATTGAACCAAATGTACCTACGTTGCCGCTGTGGGTTCGATTCCTGACAGGGACTTTGGATTGTTTGATGAGAGGAAGCTATACAGCTAGCTTACAGAACGTCGGTGTTTCTACTCAGGTGCCTGAAATATTGTACTGGCCGGTCAGGGCATCTGAGGTCTTCCTCCACCAGTAAAGCTTGAACGTCGACATAAGATCTATACTGTGTCTATGTGACGTAAAATACAGTAAAAAAGACACCAGCTCATCACCACTTTAGACGTACATGTATTAAGAAATAGCTCACTACTGATACTTCGTTAGTGGCAAACACGACATGCACGAATATGCTGAAAAATTATCGCAATACCGCAAAAAGGGGGAAAATAGTTACGTTCAGGGGCAGATTTATAACTCGATAAGTATTATGGTGATCCCCATTTTTTATTTCATTTATTTGTTTCAATTATGAATGTCTCTAATCATGCAAAGTTTAAAAAAGGTCTCCGCACTACATGCACTAGTTAAATTTTCCTTCTTTGACTCCGTAAAAACCAGCGGTACTGAAACGTCTTTCATGTGCTGTTTGTCTTACCTTATAAAATTATGAAAAGTGGAAAATATATAAACAACTTCCTAAGCTGCTCTTGCAGTCTCGATTCATAAAGAATTTTGATTTCTGGATTGGGAGGTTTTACGTGCATTTACTTTTCCTTTATAAAGAGATAACTGTTAAATCAATTTAATGAAATATCTGGCAAAAAAGTGATCCCTCGGAAGCATATAACATGAAAATTGCAGACTCAGTTTGATTGAGTCTGTACATGAGGGATAATAAAAAAGTGTAACATCCCTAAGTACTGTGAATTGTACTTGTGACTTATTGGATGAACTTCACCTATTTGAATGTTTACATTAATTTAAGATGATTCTTATCAAGTAGAGAGTTTCTAAACAAGTTTCTAGCTGTCTTCTCTTTGATTCTATTAATTTTGAGTATAAGTATCTGTTGTTGAAAAAATTATTGAGCAAATATATCTCCTATAGATTTTATTATATTTGTCTTGAAAATGGGATAATCAGTGATTTATATCTATATATGTTTATATATATTAGATTTATAAACATTGCCTTATATATATAAAGTATCTTTTAGCATTAGTGTACGGAAGCGTATCAGGGCCTACAGTTGGTGAGATGTTGTTCGCTAAGTCAACTTATTTTTATTCGCATTGATAAGATGTTTTTGCATTTCTCTATAAAATTTACTGACAAAGATGAGAAGCTTTTAGGCATAGCAACTGAATCTTTCTCGATATGCTTGAAGTTTTTGTCACTTCGACAAAAATCCTGTCGAAACTTCTTGATTTCACGACTTTGCTGAAATATTTAGTAAGACGCAAAGACGTTACTCGCATTGACAAATAGCTCACGTAATTCAACAAAGTTTTTTGCAATGATAAAAACTTCTACGTATTACGTATTAATCATAACTTCTTCAAGGAATGTTTTTGGTCAAAACGAGAAGAACTTTTAGATAAGTGGAGGCCCTGATAAGCTTCCGTAGTATTAGTGTGCTCTATTCAAAATAACTTAATGAAATTTTTTTTTGTACCGGAATGAACATTGTGGCTTATTTTGTTTTACTTGTGTACTTGTGAAATTATAACACACATATAAATGCCGAACCGGTCATATACCACGGTATATAGAAATACAAGAACTTTTGCGTCATTAAGTATTAACTTACACCTTATTTAGCCGCTAGGCTAGGTTCCCCAGAAGCTGACTCTTACATTATCAACATAGGATAGTTCAACTGATAGGCTTGAACACGTTTATTACAAAATCACGTTTGTGTTACTATTGCATCAATCTTAGGTGTAACCTGGGCTGATCCGCCTTCACATGTATTATAATAACCAGGAAATCATCTTACATGTTCATTTATATAACCTGGGTGCTTGACAAGCCACTTGTGATGACACTTATCTATCTTCTAGACATAACATTATTTTTGTTATTTTTGTTTTTGAAATGTATATTAATCACCTCCGTGAGAAATCTGTGCTGGTGTCGTTTGAAGAAACATGGCCATGACCAGATGCAGGCTCGAACCTATGTATGAATTAACCACAGGATGACAAACAGGCAAACTTCTCAACCGTCGGGTTTTTTACCTGAATGAATCACCTATTACCAATCGAAAAAGGCAGACACTTGGCAATTGATCATAATAATAGGGTCTGTTCCTTATGTCCGTATCAAGCTATTGGTGATGAATTTCACTACTTATTTGAATGTTCGTACTTTAATGACATAAGACGTAAATCTCTTCATCCCAGGTTTTACACTCATCCCAATATTTTTAAAACTTGACACATTGATGAATAGTTGTGATAAAAATATTCTTCTAAAATTATCTTTATTTGTAAAAAACATTATGTTAAAATTTAGATAAGTAATACTTCTCATTCTCCGTTCTCATTTGTTACAATATAAAATACATGTCGTATTGAATTCAGAACTTGAAATGAACAATATGATCTCCTTTTTGTTTATTAAGCTAGTCATATTTGTATTTTTATATTGTGATACTAGTGATTTTTGACTGTTATTTTTCTGTTTGTTTGTTGTTATAACCAGTTGCATATTATATGCCTTGGTTTAATAAAAACTAAACTGATCATAACATTGCTTTATGGTACTAAATTTTATTCAAAATAAAAAAGGTCCGGAAAACTGCTATGAATTTTGTAATAAAGGTGAAAAAAATGTGTTACGTTTCAGGCCTATATTCAAATTAAAAAGTAAAATGAAAGTGCAACATTAAACCACGGATTTATATTACATATAATGTAATATAAATCCGTGATTAAACACATGGCAATGCTGGACAGGTACCTAACATTGTCCTGTCAATGTCATGAAAAAAATGACTTAAAGAATATTCCATGTGCCGTTCCCTTATGACTCCGGTTAGTTTTAAATGGATTTATAATTAAGATCTACCATACAGAGATGGGTTTGCTGACATTGTTATATTTATGTATTATCAGTGTATTTACTTTGAAAAGGGCTGGAATGTCTTCAACACAGGTATTAATTATATCTATATCAAGCTTTTTTCAGTATTTCTGATGTTAATAGTTTTTATATTTAATCAACAGCCTACAATATGACAGAAATGCGGAAGAATTCGCCATTGAAATCAGTGAAACGTTACTTTATACACTACAGTATACTACATCCTATTTCAAAATAGCATGACTCTACCCGATTAACACGATTCTCTAATTCATTTCTATTTTTAGAAGGTCGTGACCTAGAATTAATAAGTAAAAAATGCCTAGGCTTATTCTACACCCGGAAGGATGCGGGTAGCTGAGAAAGTTCTGTTCTTATCTCTCATGTTTCAATATTGTGTTTAAAGGAATACTTTGTTAGAGTTTATTATTACGCTTATTTATTATTACCTACTGTACCTGTAAGTATTAGTTTTATTTAATTACCTACCTCAATCTGTACAGTATTTAGTACGGTAGCAAATACATTATAGCTAGTCACATGTTTTCGCGATGTTTACAACTATTATTGTATACCTGGGGTATTATGTTAAAACTGTTAAAACTTATCAACATTTTTATTGTATAGGGGCCTATAGATGTCAAGTATAGCAAATGTTTCTAAAGGCGATTTGGTGAGTTTGTGAACGTTCTGTTCCTAATATAGAATGTCCCAAAAAATACCCTATAGATAAACTTTAAGCACAGGAACCCGAAATTCTTTTATTCTATAAAAAAAATGAATAAATAAATAAAGATTAAAAAAAAACCCATATATATATATATATATATCTACTATAAATATCTACTTTAAAAAAAAACACTTTTTTATAGTATATAAACAGTATGGGATAAAAAAAAATTAATTCATTATTTTTTTATTTTTTTTTGGATAGAATTTCGGGTTCCTGTGCTTTAAGATCCATAAATTCCCAGATATTGAGACCTTGAGACTTTTTGAGATATTGGGATGCATTTTTATTCTTGTTGAAATGGTTTAAAAACAATATTAATGATTAAGACATGTGTACTATGGCACAAAGGTGACATGTGCCTGTTTTAGTTATCTCGTGCGCACGAGATACTGTCATAGCCACAAGTTACTAAGTCGTGCACAAAAGATAATTAAGTGGTGTGAAATAGACTAGTATTTTTTGTGCAGCATTTAATTATCTTGTGCACATGACTTTGTATCTCGTGACCAGGATGTCATAGTATCTCGTGCGCACAAGATAAATAAAAACACATAAATCTCACCTCTGTGCACTATTTGTGTTAAAATGTTAAAAGTTTTTCAATGACAATTAACAAGGTGGATCAAGTTGTGGGTTGACGTCTGACCCTCAAGTGTCTGCGTGTTTTTTTTAGAGGTCACAAATTTATGGTTCATTTGAAAATCACCTGAATTAATATGTGTTACAGTTTTTAGCTTGACTATTCGATAAGAATAAGTAGAGCTATTGCAGTCACCCGAGCGTCGGCGTCGGCGTAACCACTTATGTTAAAGTTTTTGTAATAGTTCAAATATTTTCAAAGTCCATTGACATATGGCTTTGAAACTTTGCACACTTGTTCACCATCATGACCCCAACCTGTAGACAGGAGGGGTAACTCTATCAAGCATTTTGACAGAATTATGCCCCTTTTTCGACTTAGAATTTATGTTAAAGTTTTTGTAATAGTTCAAATATTTTCAAAGTCCATTGACATATGGCTTTGAAACTTTGCACACTTGTTCACCATTATGACCCCAACCTGTAGACAGGAGGAGGTAACTCTATCAAGCATTTTGACAGAATTATGCCCCTTTTTCGACTTAGAATTTACGTTAAAGTTTTTGTAATAGTTCAAATATTTTCAAAGTCCATTGACATATGGCTTTGAAACTTTGCACACTTGTTCACCATCATGACCCCAACCTGTAAACAGGAGGAGGTAACTGTATCAGGCATTTTTTTTACTATCAAGCACTAAGAATAGTCGAGCGTTGCTGTCCTACCGACAGCTGTTGTTAATTTTCCTTTTTTGTCACATTGTAATTACTTTATATTACAGCAAATGGTACAACTGTTATTATGGACCTAGATCAAAGTTTTCTCTCAGAACTACCACTTCAACATAGACAGAAGATATGTCGGCAGATTCGTCAGAAACAGGTGTGTTGCGTAGAGGATATTTTTTCGTTTTTCGTGAAATTTATTTCCTTAGTTTGACCATTTTCTATCATTCTACATAGTTTTCAAAACAAAATTCAACAAAAGTTGTATCAGATTTTTCAAACAAAATGGCGAAAGAAGTCCCTTAAAATAAATATGAGTTTTGACTCCGCCCACTTTCATATTTATATTTCATATTTATTTTAAAAAAATATGAAATATATTTGACTGATATAGCACCATATTTCATGGGTAAAATTAATTAAAGTACAGTATTATAAGTAAGAACTGTATAGTAATTTTAAAACTGGTGTGGAATATAAAAGCATCATGTTATTCTTTCATTTTTAGTTAAGATAGCACCATTTAAGTTGTATATAAGAATTATTTCATCAAATATCATTTCTTCTGTTGACAGGTAGATAAATATCTTGAATTTGAGAAGTCAGACAGAGGGAGAGAACTGTTACCAAGGAAAAATAAGAAAGAAAATGTTCACTTTCCTGAGGCATTAGTGCTACAAAATGCTGTAGATAACTTTGATGACAGACAAGGTATGTTATGTTATATAATACTGAATTCTTCCTAGTTTTGTATATTCAGAACAGCCCTTATTTAGTTTATTTACTCTTCACTTGTTAATTTAATAGAACACCTGCTTATTAACAATGTAAATGCTTAAGTCATGCTCTCCAGAAAGTACTACCCAAGTATAGATAGTAATATTGGTCAGTAGTGGGTTAGTGATTTTTATCAGCATTGGGGTAATGTTGGTGGGCCCCATTTTGAGGGGGGAAAAAATCACATTTACTGTTAGTATGAATTAAGCAAAAACAAAACCAATATTATTGATATTAAACTTCACTTCTGATGATAAACATAATTAAGTTCAAGATGAAGAAGTACTAAAAGTACAAAAGTTTCAGTTGGAATAAGTTAGTGAAAACATTAGTTTCTGTCCTAAAATAGCCAAAGAAACATGATGTATATTCATTATTGTTACTTATACAAACTACCATTCCTTATAATCATAGTTCTTCTTAGCCAAAACTATTAACTGTTTTACTTTAAAAACATATTTCATCATTAGCCATCTGAGCATTTAATATCTGTTGTTTGGAAAGATAAAACATTAAGTGTACTGTTAATAGCAATGACAATGGGTCTGTATTCTATGTTACCATTTTATACTTTCCTTTTTTTAACAATCAATTTCTCTTTTAAAGAACCTTTGTGATTATATTACTGGGCATCTGAACTCTGTACCATGCTATATTATAAGACAGATCACTCAAATTCAAGATCTGTTTCCTAACTATTTTGTTTATAAATGTCCTAAAGGAATTAAAATTTAATTTCTATCTGATATAAAATATGATAAATGTTTCATTCCTTATACATGTATATAAATTTCAAATACAGGTTTATAGGACTATTACAATATGCCTAGAGCAAACTGGTCTGCCATGTAATTGTTATTCTGACATCTGTGGTGTTACCTGGTATTGTTGTTTTTTTCAAAATTATTTCTGTACAATTTATGAATAAGACCATATTATGCACCTAAACTATGGGTAAATCTGTGAATAGCTTTTTCAAACATATATCATTAAATACCTCAATTCTTAATCTTTATTTTGATTCCTAATTTTGTGAGATATTGCTTGTGCTTCTTCAATTAAAGGTTACAGTAAAACTTGCATTTTTTTTAAGGGGGGAGGGAGGGTAAGGGGAGGGTGGATTATATATAATAATTATATATGATTGTGCACTACTTACACATACACACATATATATATATACAATGATCATACAAAATGTCATATATTTATATAGGAAATGCTACATAATTCTGTTTCTTTTCCTATCATATACGGGTATTTATATAATAATGTTATGTGAATTTTTTGTTTTTTTTCTGTTAGAAAAAGGCTTAATCATGTAATTTTTTTTTGCAAATTGAACTTCTAATTGCTGCATTCATACTGCCCATAATTATAAAAGTATTTTTAAAACTACTTTACTGCATAATGTATATAATTTAACAATAGAAATTGTTTTCTCTGCAACAATAGTCAGTTGTTTAGATTATTATTTTGTCGTTATTTATTGCCTCAGGGCAAGACTATTGCATGATGTCTCTCTTTATATAAACAGTTAGTATAGTTTACCTTATATGTACCAGCCTAATATATATCATGTTTCTTTATGTTGAAATAACTGTGGCTCTCTACACCGCTTTCTACATAAATGATGTATTATAATATATTGAAGTGAACAAATAAAACTCAAAATATTGTATATATGTAAAGACGTGATGAGCTAGAAGATCAGATCTTTGAAGTTTGACTCGTGTTTGGGACACACAGTTTTCTAGACCCCTGGTTCAAATAATTTATACAATGAAGTATTTGTATAATATACATGTAAATACTGGCACAGTGTTCAGAATCATAAGGTGGAGATTATGACTGGAAAGCAGGATATTAAAAGTTTTTTCTAAAAGTCAATTTCTTTGTTAATTTAGAAATAAGTACATATCAAGTATCAGTTAACTGTCAAGTTAACTATCTCCATCACTCCCATTATCTTATCAAGTTACTTTCTCCATCCACAAGTATATGATACCTAGTGTAAATAAATTCTTTGACCCCATTTTAGAAACTTTATTCATGCATGTAAATTAGATTGACATATATGTATTTGGAGGATTTAATGGTTATGTTTTAACCTTTTATAAACATTATTATATCAAACTGTATTATAAATTTCATTACTTCTTACCAGAATTTTATTCAAATATTCTTTACTGTCACCTATTATTGTCAATCTATCTCATAATTAAACATTGGTTTTAAGTTTTAGTAACAACCAGTCACAAAGTGACAGGGTGAGCTTTTGTGATCGCTTTTCATCCGGCGTCCGGCATCCGTAAACTTTTATTTTAAATGACATCTCCTCATAAACCACTTAGCCAATTTCATCCAAACTTCACAGGAATGTTCCTTTGGTGGTCACCTTTGAAAAGTGTTCAAAGAATTTAATTCCATGCAGAACTCTGGTTGCCATGGCAACCAAAAGAAAAAACTTTAAATATCTTCTTTTAAAAAACCCAAAGAGCTAGAGCTTAGATATTTGGCATGAAACATCTTCTAGTGAGTGTCTACCAAGTTGTTCAAATAAAAGCCCTGGGGTCAAAATTGGCCCCGCCCTGGGGGTCATTGATTTTCCCTATAATTATGCATATAGTAAAAACTTAAAAAATCTTCTTTTAAAGAACCCAAAGAGCTAGAGCTAAGATATTTAGCAAGAAACATCTTCTAATGGGTGTCTACCAAGTTTGTTCAAATAAAAGCCCTGGGGTCAAAATTGGCCCCGCCCCAGGGGGTCATTGATTTTCCTTATATGTGTATAGCAAAAAATTAAAAATCTTCTTTGAAAAAACTCGAATAGCTAGAGTTTAGATATTAAGCATGAAACATCTTCTAATGAGTGTCTACCAAGTTTGTTCAAATAAAAGCCCTGGGGTTTAAACTGGCCTTGCTCCGGAGGCCTATATACAGGTGAGCTACTTCAGGGCCATCATGGCCCTCTTGTTATTTTATTTTTCCCTGGAAATAGAAATTCAACTAGCTAGATTTATTTTGGTATCACAGTGTAATCACACGAAAAAAACATTCACTATGTCATACAATCAATATCTTATTAAAGCCTTATGTATTCAAATTTTATGAATTGTTCAATAACAATGACAAAAAAGAACTATATAATTAAGCTATGTTCCTAAACAAAGCTTTTAAACATAGAAGTAATATAAATATGGTCGCACAATAATGTTACATGCAAATTGTATTTTATGGAGTCCGTAACACTATGTTTATTACTATGCTAAGTTGTATTGTAATATACTTTCACTTTCCTGTTATATATAGATCAGTTGATATGAAAACAAAAATTGTATTGCTTTGAAACACTTCAATCATGTGCAGAATCAAACTAAGTTGTTATTATGCCCCCTTCAAAGAAGTGGAGGCATATTGCTTTGTATTTGTCTGTCAGTCGGTCCTTCGGTCTGTCAGTCCATAGACCAAATGTTTTCCAAGTGATAACTAAAGAACACTTAGGCCTAGGAACTTCAAACTTGGTATGATGATTGTTCATGACCTGTAGTTGACCCCTATTGATTTTGGGATCAATGGGTCAAAGGTCAAGGTCACATTGACCTTTAAGGTGAAAATGGTTTCCAATTAATAATTAAAGAACGCTTAGGCCTAGGAACTTCAAACTTGGTATGATGATTGCCCATGACCAGTAAATGACCCCTATTGATTTTGGGGTCAAGGGGTCAAAGGTCAAGATCATATTGACCTTGTAGGTAAGAACAGTTCCCGAGTGATAACTTAAGAAGGCTTAGGCCTAGGAACTTCAAACTTGGTATGATGATTGTTCATGACAAGTAGATGACCCCTATTGATTTTGGGTCAAGGGGTCAAAGGTCAAGGTCACATTGACCTTGTAGGTAAAAACGGTTTCTGATCAATATCTAAAGAATGCTTAGGTCTAGGAAAATCAAACTTGGTTTGATGATTGTTCATGACCAGCAGATGACCCCTATTGATTTTGGGGTCAACGGGTCAAAGTCACATTGACCTTGTAGGTAAAAACTGTTTCCGATCAATAACTAAAGAATGCTTAGGCCTAGGAACTTCAAGCTTGGTATGATGATTGTTCATGACCAGCAGATGACCCCTATTGATTTTGGGGTCAACGGGTCAAAGTCACATTGACCTTGTAGGTAAAAACTGTTTTCGATCAATAACTAAAGAAGGCTTAGGCCTAGGAACTTCAAGCTTGATATGATGATTGTTCATGACCAGCAGATGACTCCTTTTGATCTTGGAGTCAATATGTCAAAGTTTAATGTCACATTGACCTTGTAGGTAACAACGGTTTCCGATCAATAACTTGACAACCCATGGGCAAAAGTCTGTCATAATAACCTGCTCACATGACTAATTGGCTGCCGATAAGGGACATACATGTATTACAAACATATCTTGTTATATATGTGTTGAGGATGTTGACTTGTACTTATGTACAAGTCTGAATAAAGATATGTTCTGTTTTTGTGCCCCCACTTAAGTGGCGGGCATTTAGATTTACCCTTGTCCGTCCGTCCGACCATCCGTCTGTCCGAGCCAACATTTGATTATTATGAGCTTCATTCCGTAGTTAAATAAAGAACATAAACTCATAAACTTCAAATTAAGAGCTATTTTTTTTTGTTTTTATGAGCTGATTTTGCTTATGGATGTTGGTCCAGGTGGTGTTTATGAGCTCATTTGCCTCATAAACATCAAATTTTGGTACGTCCGTCCATCCTTCGGTCCGTCTGTCCATCCTTCCGTCCGTCCATTCTCTTTTGTGTTGCACGTAACTCAAAAAGTATTTGACCTAGAGTAATGAAACTTTACAGGAATGTTGATCAGCATGTGTTGTTGTGCACCTGGGTATTTTCATCTGGATAATTTTAGTATTTTTAGAGTTATTGCCCTTGACTTAGTAAAATTTTGCAATTTTCAACTTGTGTCGCATATAATTCAAAAAGGATTTGACATAGAGTCATGAAACTTTACAGGAATATTGATCAGCATGTGTAGTTGTGCACTAGGTATTTTCGTCTGGATTTATTTAGTATTTTTAGAGTTATTGCCCTTGACTTATAAAATTTTTGCAATTTTCAACTTGTGTCGCATATAATTCAAAAAGGATTTGACCTTAGACTAAGAGTCATTAAACCTTACGGGAAGGTTGCTCAGCATATTTAGTTTTGCACCTGGGGTTTCGTTTGTGGATTTATCTAGTATTTGTAGAGTTATTTCCCTTGACTTAGTAAAAACCGTTTCATTATGTTGTTATTTGTTCCTTGAGTGCTTGAGTTAGAATCAACCAACTTTACAGGAATAATGATCAACATCACTAAATTATACGAATAATGATTAACATCATCCTGAAGCTATGCACCTGGGACTTTGCATGTGGATTTTTTTCAGTTTTGTTAGTTAATGCTCTTGACTTACAGTAGTATAAATTTGCAATTTTCAACTTGTTCATGCATAGCTCAAAAAGTATTTCACTTGTAGGCCTGAAAGTTTACAAGAATGTTGGTCAGCATGTGTACTTATGTACATTGGGGTTTGCTTGTGGATTTATTCAGTATTTGTAAAGTTCTTGCCCTTTACTTAGTAAAAGATTTTTAGTTTTCAAAAAATATTTGACCTAGAGTCATATGATTGACAGAACAGTGGCGCGGTGGGGGCACCCGTTTCCTATGGACACATTTCTAGTTTATTAAGAGATTGAATCAATTAAAAAATATTGTAAAATCTGTAAAAAGCTACCATGAAAATAAAACCATTTTTTTGCCCTCAGATTTCAAAATTCCCTCAGTTCACTAGGTTTGGGTGGAAATTACACCTTTCCTTAACTCCTATATGTAGACATTGTATATAACCATACAACATATACATATGACTATTTACTGTTAAATTTGATTTTATTTTCAGTTGCAAAATGTCTTGCTAATGGTTGTGACCCAAACTACACTACTGGTAACAGCACTTCTCTGCTACATAGGGTATGTTATAGTTTAATAACATGTGTACCAGTCAGATTGTTTAATCTTTGCGTAATTCCCCTGGCACTGTAAAATAAATATAAAAATTTATAGATTTTTTTACAGTTGTTTTACTTATATTAAGCTGTTAAATAAGAGAATATCAAAGTTTGCATGACTTATTAAACATGTGCATTTTTCAATTATTTCACTAATAGAAATTTTCTGTATTTTACTGATGCTTATTTTTGGTCATTATTATACTTTGTGTTCTTCATAACTCTAATACCAGATATCAATGACAAAATCATTCAGATTGCTGACTTTATATTATTTGTCCCACACTACTGTTGGTTCAAATCCTGCTGGGGCAGGTGGATTCTTTCGTGTAAGGAAGCTTTTCAGGTAGCCTACTTCAAAGATTCAACTCTGGTGCCTGCCTGTGTCTGAAATAATGCACATTATGTCTTACTCTACCAGATAGGTTTGATATATATCTGTACAGTATTGGACACAAATTCAGATCAGACCCAGAAAATGTAATGCTTGTAGTTTAGCCAATTACAGTAAACTCCGCTTATAACGAACTCATTTGGACATTCAAAATATGTTCCTTATATCTGGAGTTCCTTATAAGCATATAGCGAATTAGTTCCTTGTATCAGGAGTTTTTATAGCGAACAGATTTACATATAACGAACTGACTGTTTACTATCGTCCGCCATTTTTAACAGCATTTGATTAAGAAAAATAGTCATTTTTTTCTTTTTAGACGCAAAACCCGAGAGAATACTTTTTGGAATTTGAAAATCTTTTGCTTTTTCAGTTTAAGTTTTTTACTTTGTTTTTCAATTTCTCATAAAATATCATATTTTGTTTCTAAACTCGCTGCTTTTCGTTTTCTTTCCATGATTAAGAATAAACAAGATTTTCGATTTTTCTTCCTATTATATTGAGTATCTTCTGTTATATTTTAAGGGTGACTTTTACTTATGAAAGATATAGATTTCTTTTTATTTCGCTAAAACGTATTTTGTAGTTTTCAATGGATTAGTATGCATGCGTGATTATGTTGAAAACCGGTTATAAATGATCATAATTATTTTACTTGAGCAAACCTATTAAAGAAAAGAAATAATACAATAAAAGGAATAACCGTTTTATCTTGGTGACAGGAACTTATGCTTATAGAAAACTATTACCGACTGCTATACAAATTCATTTTCATAGCTGTATTTAAAACATTAAACGGTACATTAGGGCGAGTTTTAATCCTTGCCTATGAAAAAGAAAGTTGAAAATGCGGGATATATTTACAGATAGCTGATATTTTGGAGTTTGTTATAAAAGTGTAATTTTCTGTACTTTTAACTTAATTGGGACTAAAAAATGAGCTCCTTATAAGCGATAATTCCTACGCTATTACCATATATTTTTACATTAAATAAAGAAGGGCAAAATTCGGGCCAAAATAAATAGTTCCTTATAACCTAACCGTGTTCGCTATAAGTAAAGTTTACTGTAATTGTTATTTTTATTGTATTGTTTATATTTTTATGTGTAGTTATAAGTTCAGCATGTATATGAGTACATGTAGATGTTTGTTTTAGTGTGCAGCAGAAGACAATGTTACTGCAGCAGAATTGTTGATATCTCATGGAGCAGACGTAAATATACTGGATGATGATTGGTGGACACCACTACATACTGCATGCTCATGTGACTGTCCAGAAATAGCAACTTTACTCATCAATGTAAGACAATTTAATATTTTATCATACAAAGTACTTGCAGATATAGCATAATTTATATTCCTATCAATGTAAAACACAATTTTAGCCATTGTAAGCACCTAGTAACTTTACTACTCAACACGCCATGCTCTGATAAAGTTTTTACAATCTAGATTGATGAAATGATGATGATATCTTAATTCATTTTTTATAATTCATTTTGTTAAATACATAGGCAATAAAAACAGTAAGTATAGAAGTATGTACTGCTGCATACTGAAATGTTTAAATATGCTATAAACAACAAATGCAGTTTTTCACAAACTTCATTGTAATATAATAGATATTTAATATAATAGATATTTAATATAATAGATATTTAATACAAAATTTAATACAAAAATTTTATCATCACAAAGATTAAAAAAAGAGAAGATTTCTAGTGAGATATAAAACTTATAAATGACGTGTATTATTATGTAACATCAGGTAGTCTAGCATAAGTATCAGTTCTATAACATTTTTGTGCATGTGAGAAAAAATCCTGATATTCTGTTAGTTTACTGTTGTATATATGACAAGGTATCAGATTTTAACAGTTATCTATATCATATTCTACTATAGAATTTGTTTTGTAACATGGCAACTTTAAGTTACATGTTTAACAACTACTCTGTTAATATTTTAACACTTATTTTAGATTTGTACTGTTGTTTAGAGTTATCACACTATCATCTGTGACATTTAGATATTATAAAATGTGAGACACGAATTTAACACAGTATCATATGAAGAGAAAAATGTACACATGTATATCTATAGCATGAATGAGAAATGTAATGGTGTTATAAATTTAAAAATAGTCAGGGTTGTTTATATAAGTGAACTGTAAATCTAAGAATGTTGTAATGTAGGTTATTTTCCCTGTTACCATTTACTTAAAGATTTATCTCACTACAGTAATGTTTGCATGAGCAGTACCTCTAGAGGCTGGCAGAAATCATGATCACTAAGTAGAAAAATATCGCTTTTTTGTCGATTATTATATTTATCATTCATTATCATACACATATCAGTGTGAAAAGATTAATCCAACATTTTAAAGTGCATTTCTGCCGTTGTATAGGGGAGATTTTAACATTTTATCATTTAATACCGGAATATGGTACATGTGTATTTAATGTGGTGCTCCAATGCTCCAACACTGTTTTTAGTCTCACTCCTTACTTTAACAGAAGTAAATAATGAGCAGCACATTATTATATAAGCATGTTATAAGGCATGTTTGTTTAATACTGACTATATACTGACAGAATGGAGGTGATGTAACTGCACTAGATGTAGATGGTTATTGTCCCTTAGATCAGGCAGCAGAGGGGTCAGAGGTTAGAGCTGTGTTAACTAAACACATTGAAAATAAAGGTACTCATTCAACCATATAGTGTATATTTATATATATATTATTATGTCACATTATCACATTGTTAACTCAATAGAACATTGCCACAATGATATCTGAAATGATTCTATAAAACATGGCAGAAAAATCACCAGTTTTATCTTTTTATATCATAATAATTATATGTAATGTTTCAGACTGCACAAAATAAATACTGCTATATGACAAATGTAGGGGGACATCAAGATTTTATGTATTTTAGTAGAATGTTGCATAATTATATAATTTTCTCAGAAGATGTTAATGTCTGAAGAGTATATTAATCATAACAATATTTTGCTTCCAACATATGTATAGTTTTGTCGTATTGATAAATGAAACAAGTATTAAAATATAAGTAGATTTTCACCTTGAAAACAAGATGGACGTTGTATCAATTTATTCAGGGAAATATACAGAAACACACACTATAATGTCTCATATATCAACATGTATATTAAACACACAAAAATACAACAAAAATAACTATAAAATGAAGTAGTATGTTTTATGTTACCATAGGCTTGCCCATTAAGCTAAAAGCTTATTTCCAATGGGGTCCAATTAATATTAATATACTAAATTATACATGTATAATAATAGATGAATTATTAAATATATGTACAAGTTTTACTCCTATATTGTTGTTGTTTGTTTTGCAGGATTGACGGAGAAAGCTCTTCATGAAAGTCGACAGTTACGACCACAAGAGTTCTTAAACTATATCAAAAGTTTACCTATAGCTATAAATATAAACATGCTGAATAAAGAAGGAGTTACCTTGGTAATTTATTTTATATTTTCATTCCATTTATCACAGTAACATTGATAGCAAAACATAAAGAAGACGGTTCTACGAGGATATATGCTCTTGCTTCAAATACAGAGTTCATACAGTCTTTTAAAGTGCTCAAATTTGAGTCCCTTTCTTAAAAGTGCTTAAAAATGTAAAAAAGTGCTTAGAAGTCTTTGAATTTGATTACTCTCTTGAATAGTGCTTAAAAAGTGCTTAAAGTTGGTAAAAATCTGCTTGAAAATGATTGAATGACAGAGTAGATAAATGTCAACAGTTCACAAATTCCAAAGAATGATCCAATTTAGTATCAAAATCAATGAAATGCTTGCTCAATGTAACAGTTAGTGGACAAATTGCACTTGTTTTGAACTAATTTGTATTTGATGCACCTGGTGTTGTTCTTCCATAAAAACCTTAAAATTGTGGCCAGAAAATGTGTATTCAACAAAAAATGGCGAAGAAACTATCCTTCTTAGGTTGAAGATTGTGTCGATATAATTATATGCAACAAATGTGCTTGAAAAATAGGAAAACATGCTTAAATAGTTCTTAAAAAGTCCTTGAATTTTGGCATTGGATGTCTGTACATACCCTGAAATAATAAACATCTAGGAAGACTAATGACATCTTCGGGCCACAATGGAAGCTGTCGGCTCACCATATAAACTTAACACTAATTGTTTTATAAGCCCTATCAAAATAAATCAACAGTATAATCATTGAAAATTGATTATTATTTGTTAAGGGAAATCAATACTTGTATTTGTTTACTGTCATGTTGTCATTAATAATTCAAATAGGCCACTGATATTAAATATATTTTTATCTATGAAAAAAGTGATATTTTTTATGAGATTTTTGCTTGAATAATAGTGCAAACCCATAACTAGTAAACATTAAACATTTAAATCATGTTTTGTTGAATTACTAGTGTAATAATTACACATGTTGTTTACCCTGGAAATTGTTTATGTTGTTATTACAGTCATGATTTGTACATTAACTGTGAAGTATTTCTTTATTTCAGTTACATATAGCAGCAGCCAATGGTTACAGAAATTGTATGAAAGCTTTGTTCCGGTATAATGCTGATGTTAACAAACTAGATAACTATGGTTGGACACCACTACATGTGGCTGCCAGGTTTAATCAGGTATGTGATAGAAGGCTTTTGTTGTCAAGTGGTCAAACTTGTTGGCTTCTTATTACTTTTCCCACATCAAATTAAGTGTGAATCCCTACAGTGAAGGAGTAACCATTTAAGATAAAACCATGTTACAGTATCATAGAGGACAATATTTGTACAAAACCATACCAACATACCATATAGTACCATGATACAAACATCTTTCAGGGCACAATGGATGGAACATCATTTAGAACAATATCATGATGTAGAATCTTTTCAGACAAAATCATGATGGAACATGATTTAGAACAAAATCATGATGTAAAATCTTTTCAGACAAAATCATGATGTAAAATCTTTTCAGACAAAATCATGATGTAAAATCTTTTCAGACAAAATCATGATGGAAAATCATTTAGGACAAAATCATGATGGAACATAATTTAGTACAGAACAGTTATAAATATCTTTTGGACAAAATACTTTTAATGACATTTGGAACAGTCTCCTGAAATCAGTCTCAGAAATATTATGGATTACCTCATGACTTATCATGTAAACAAAGACAGAGGGTGTAATCTTTATATAATGAGTAACAAATGTATTTATTTATCTTCCATTGGAAAATAAAGTCTGTATTGGTTATATTATGATTAAAAAAATATGTCTGACAATGGAATAAATGTAAGAATGCTCATTTAAATACAATTAGCACTAAATCCAAATAACACCAACAGGTATGCATGTTTTGTTTTGGTTTCTAAAAACATAATGAATAGCATATATGCCTGAATTATAAAGCATAGGTTTGAATAAAATAGTGTATATCTTCTGTGAATTCATACAATGATGTTTGAGGTAATTATCTGAAATTTGACGGAAAGGGTCGATATGATACAAATCATTTAGGACAAAGCTCTGATGGAATATCAGTTAAGACAAATAATATTTTAGAAATAAGTCATATAATTATATACTAGCAAAATATTTATCATTTCAGGAGAAATCAGTTGTTTTGTTGTTGAAGCACAAGGCTGATCCAAACACAGAAGATTTACTTGGCTGTAAACCATCGGCCGTTACAAGCTCTGATAAAATAAGAGGATTACTCATGAAATATGAGAGAAAATTGGTATGTTCTTTATTATGTTTATTTTGATTATTTATATTATAATAGATCTATATTTTTATTATAATTTATATAAATTTTCGAAGAATTTGTATGTATGGCAACTAAAAATGTTTGAAACTGTACATGTAACTTTATAAATCATCAGAGTATCCAGTTACTATCTAGTAATCAGATGACCTAAATATTGTCAGTTAGATTGGTGTGATATATTGACTATGTGCCCCTATCATCTCCCACAATTAAACACCTTCTTAGTATGCTATAAATGTATATAAACTGATGATATACAATTTTGTGTATACCTTCTCCATTTACACATGTTATTGTATGTATATGCTTTACACTGTCTTGTCATGTATCATGTATCTATTTATCCTCATGGACCATTTTGGTCCAATGGAATATTGAAATAAACTTATATAAACTTGTAAAGTTTTAACTCTTTGTGGTATTTGTAAGAAGACAGACAGATATTTAAGGGCTTTCATGTTTTGTTTTTTAATTCTTTAATAAGCAGGTTCCTTATATTTACTTTTATCATAAGTCGTGGTTGAAATGAAGCTAATGAAATACACAACTGTACTAATATCTAGTGATATATAAATGTTTAAACTTCAACCAGATTGACATCTCTACATTGGATCATAAATGAAGATCTTTTTGTCTCATGCAGTAAGCTCAGTTAGGTGTTTGACCATTTATAACATTTATTCCCGCTATTTGAATCAGTTCTATACAACAAGATAGGAGTTTATATCCTCAAGTTATTAAGGTTATTCACTTAAATTCAGAAACTATTGGTTTAAATTCAGTCAGGGATCTTAAATGAGGAAGCTATTGAAATAGCTTATAGAATGTTTGCGATTCAGTGGTCATAATTCCGGGAAGGATGGGAATGATGCATAATAAAGACAGACATCTATATCGTTGATACTCAACAATAAGAATATATATTTTATATAGCAAGGATCTGGACCAGTATATTTAGATCTATGTGGTGAGAAAGTTGATGAGGACAATGTATATCATGAGATAAGTGAGTCAGATATAGACGAGGGTGATGAGTCGTGGCAGCTTGTAGGTGTTTTCAGGATAAACAGTAAAACTGTGTAAGTATATACATGTAGGTTTATATACATGAGATTTGTTTATTATTGACCAGGTTGAAAAATTATCTACCACTTTATATCTTATACTTCTTTAATTGTTTTTGCTTGAAAATTCACTGATTAATTCCAGATTATTACAATAGGTCACTATCTATATTTACCATTAATCTACTTTTGATTTTAAGTAAGCTTAACTCTTCTATGAACTTGAATTTTTCTAGTGAAGGTTTTGTGTGCAAGTTTTGAAGGTATTATATGCAAGTTTCTATTTCCTCAAATGCTGATAGAATTCACAGATATCTTGAAATAATAATTGTAGATCTATGACCAAGAACTCATGCACTTGTCCCTGCACAATTTTTTTCTGAATTCCGATATATTAAAGATCTTTCATCAAGTGATGATTTGTATTGTTTGTATGTATAATTATAAACCATACAAAGGGTACAAAATATTCTTTTAAACATTTTAAAATTGTAGGTAATTTGTAAACTGTAAAATTACAGGTAATTTGTAAACTGTAAAGTTATAGGTAATTTGTAAACTGTAAAATTGCAGGTAATTTGTAAACTGTAAGATTATAGGTAATTTGTAAACTGTAAAATTGCAGGTAATTTGTAAACTGTAAGATTATAGGTAATTTGTAAACTGTAAGATTACAGGTAATTTGTAAACTGTAAGATTATAGGTAATTTGTAAACTGTAAAATTACAGGTAATTTGTTAACTGTAAGATTATAGGTAATTTGTAAACTGTAAAATAACAGGTAATTTGTAAACTGTAAAGTTATAGGTAATTTGTAAACTGTAAAATTGCAGGTAATTTGTAAACTGTAAGATTATAGGTAATTTGTAAACTGTAAAATTGCAGGTAATTTGTAAACTGTAAGATTATAGGTAATTTGTAAACTGTAAGATTATAGGTAATTTGTTAACTGTAAGATTATAGGTAATTTGTAAACTGTAAGATTATAGGTAATTTGTAAACTGTAAGATTACAGGTAATTTGTAAACTGTAAGATTATAGGTAATTTGTAAACTGTAAGATTATAGGTAATTTGTAAACTGTAAGATTATAGGTAATTTGTAAACTGTAAGATTACAGGTAATTTGTAAACTGTAAGATTATAGGTAATTTGTAAACTGTAAGATTATAGGTAATTTGTAAACTGTAAGATTATAGGTAATTTGTAAACTGTAAAATTACAGGTAATTTGTTAACTGTAAGATTATAAGTAATTTGTAAACTGTAAGATTATAGGTAATTTGTAAACTGTAAGATTACAGGTAATTTGTAAACTGTAAGATTATAGGTAATTTGAAAACTGTAAAATTACAGGTAATTTGTAAACTGTAAGATTATAGGTAATTTGTAAACTGTAAGATTATAGGTAATTTGTAAACTGTAAGATTATAGGTAATTTGTAAACTGTAAGATTACAGGTAATTTGTAAACTGTAAGATTATAGGTAATTTGTAAACTGTAAGATTATAGGTAATTTGTAAACTGTAAGATTATAGGTAATTTGTAAACTGTAAGATTATAGGTAATTTTGTAAACTGTAAGATTATAGGTATTTTTACAAATTAAGTGTAAGGCAAGCATGTTACATATTTAAAGTTTAAATTTATGTCTGAAGTTTTTAACTACCCAAGTTGTCATGCTTGTGGTTAACTCATGTCTAGTGTGTCATGTACTTACAGTTATGCAAATAATAGTGCAAACATACAATATTGGAGTCTTCCTGGTTAAGAAACACCTGCAATATTCATTCCATGTATTATTCATTACAGTGTTTCTATATTTATTAAGAATGAAATAGATAAAGGTAAAAGTAAAATAGATGGTGATATTTCCCACGGTTATATAAACTATGAGACATTTACTTATGCTGGGTTGTTTTCTATGAACATGTGTCATATACAGAAAACCACATGAAACGTTTATACATAAAAGAAACACATCATTTTAATTTATTTTTGTAGAAGAGGGGAATTTACAGATAAATACTCCTGAATCATATGATAACTAAGATTTACTTCAATACCATCAGAAATGTGCTAGTTCTCTCGTCTTTAATTTACTCTTTTTTCTTAAAGTGGATTAGTCTATAATGGAAGGTCTGTAATACAATAAATAATTATATTGATAGTGGTTAGTATTAGACATAACAGTAAACCACACAACATTATACATGTACTAGGTTGTTGGCAAGTGTGAGATACATGATCCAATATTACATGTATTTAAATAGCAGATAATTCAATGTTCTAGAACAAAATTCATCAGCTAAATTAGCTCATTCAAAATCACTTAAAACTTTATCAACATTTTTTTAAGCAGCATTTAATAAGAAAATCCAAATGATATATTTGTAATGTTTTTATAATTATTTGAAATACTATTGGGGAGAAAGTGTTTGTTTTCAAGCAAGTCTTGGGATAGACATCATAATAACAATTTTCTGCAGCAGTTATGTTTCATGTACAGCATTATATTTACCCTTTACAAACTGTTTACTTGTATTTGTGACTTCCAATCTATTTTGTATTTATCAGCTGAAGTTTTAGCTTATTGAAAATGGCATTGACTTCCATCTGCTCAAGTGACTTTTGTGCATTTTTTTAAACATTTTTTCTTTTAAAATGCATATATAAAATAACTAATATTATGTACATGAATTTGACTACCTGTATATATATATATATAATTACTGTACTAGGGGAAACAACTCTTGTGCAGAACACTCTAGTTCTTGCAAAGTACCCTCCCTTATAAACTTATTGTATTGTTATGTGTACCATTCTTGTAATTTCAGACGAACAAAACATGTGACAATATCAAAGGAAGATGAGTTGATAGAAGCAAGACAAATGTATGAACATATTGCTGAGTTCAATAGTGGAGGTATGTATTGTGTTTAAACATTTACATTTATTGTTTTGTAAAAGTCAGATATGTTCCAAGATATGTTCACATACAAATCAGACTTCAAACTTAAAGAAATGATTATCATTGGATACTTTTATCTTAACATATAAAATTTGAGTCCTTTAACATGAAAACATGTGTGTATTTAAGTATACCTGTATATTATGCAAACATGTAAACTCTCCCACTTTCTGCAACCATATTTTCAAAGACTTTTCTTAAAATAAGGGGTGTTTTCACAAATTAAAGAAATCTCCATCTTTTTGATGTCAGAACTTTCTTTGTTTATTGCAAATTCTAAAATCTCCCTCTTTGTAAAGAAAAATCTCCCAATTGATCATAGAAAAAAGTTAACATGTATATTATGTATTACAGATAAAAATACAGCATCCACCCCTACCACTACCACTACTACCGCCACTATGTCTACCACAACCACTATGTTATCTCAAGAAGAAAGTGAGGATAAGCAAGATGAAGGTGACTATGTCTCCATGGCAATCTGGAAATCTGCAAATGTAGAAAAGGTAAGATCAAATAAATTTATCTCTCTACATGAAGTGTTTGTTGTTTGATCTCTGAAGCAAATAAATGATATTATATTAAAGGAGCTCCACTGGAGCTCCACTGAGGTCAAAACACTGAAAAACAAAAATTTGGAAATCTAGCAAAGATCAAGTGATGCAGTTAAATTGCAAAAATCTGCAAAAGATATTAAAGAAATATACTCATAGTTAAATTGAAAACCATTTTTAGGGTATCATTTTTAGCACGGTTTTAGTGACAAGCATTGCAATGCTTTTTATTTATTCATGCTTTCCAGTGTTTTATTGTAATATATCAGAATGATTATATTCTGATAAACCACTAGTGAAATTTATAAAATATAATTTTCACTGTAGCCGGACTATATCTGAATGCGGATGAAAAGAAAATCATAACAAAATGAAATAAGGGCAGAAATAAATGCAGACATGCGTAAATTTTGCTTCTTTAGGAAAAGAAAGTCGATGTCATCATACATAATGTTAAAAATGTAACAAAATGAGAGAAATGTATTTCAAAATTGATAACGTGACATCATGATGTGATGACGTCACAAGGGAGAATGCGCAACGTTACGCGGCAAAATTAGTAAAAAAGTACTTAAAATCACTTAAAAAGCATGAAATAAAAAGAAAATTTATTTGTTTTACATATAAGATTGAAATATATTTCATTCGTGAAAACCAGCTATTGTATTTTCACTTGTGGCTACGCCACTCGTGAAAATATTGCATCTGGTGTTCACTCAGTGAAATTATATTTCAATCTTACATGCAAAACAAACAAATATCCTCTATATTCTTCACATTTTACCTCTCAACTCCCTTATGTTAAAACTCCTTGTAATATTCTAACTGATTAATATGTTAAAATTTTGATAAAAACTTTCTAGATAAATTCATGATGACATTGATTTACATTTATGATTACACAATAGAAAAAATATTTAGCCATGTTACATATTTTACAGGGTGATCTAGGACAGTGTATGGTCAGTGATAATTTAGCCATGTTTTATATTTAACAGGGTGATCTAGGACAGTGTATGGTCAGTGATAATTTAGCCATGTTTTATATTTTACAGGGAGATCTAGGACAGTGTATGGTCAGTGATAATTTAGCCATGTTTTATATTTTACAGGGAGATCTAGGACAGTGTATGGTCAGTGATAATTTAGCCATGTTTTATATTTAACAGGGTGATCTAGGACAGTGTATGGCCAGTGATAATTTAGCCATGTTACATATTTTACAGGGTGATCTAGGACAGTGTATGGTCAGTGATAATTTAGCCATGTTTTATATTTTACAGGGAGATCTAGGACAGTGTATGGTCAGTGATAATTTAGCCATGTTTTATATTTTACAGGGGGATCTAGGACAGTGTATGGTCAGTGATAATTTAGCCATGTTTTATATTTTACAGGGAGATCTAGGACAGTGTATGGCCAGTGATAATTTAGCCATGTTTTATATTTTACAGGGAAATCTAGGACAGTGTATGGCCAGTGATAATTTAGCCATGTTTTATATCTTACAGGGAAATCTAGGACAGTGTATGGCCAGTGATAATTTAGCCATGTTTTATATCTTACAGGGAAATCTAGGACAGTGTATGGCCAGTGATAATTTAGCCATGTTTTATATCTTACAGGGAAATCTAGGACAGTGTATGGCCAGTGATAATTTAGCCATGTTTTATATCTTACAGGGAGATCTTGGACAGTGTATGGCCAGTGATAATTTAGTGTCAGTGTCTGAAGTTAAAGATGATTCAGTACTGATGGAGATACAGAGAAGATATGAAGACAGACAGATATATGTAAGTCTGATTTACAAAGCCACAAAAAATTGTCTCATCTTACATATTGAAATTTATATCTATTTTTTGTACATTGTCATATGATAATAAAATTATATTGTACATGATTTTAAAGAGCCTTAATATTTTTATGGTTTTATATCATAAATCTGATGCTCAAGTTAAGATTTATCAATATTGTAAGTTAAAAAAAAGCATTATTTGCAAAGATATTACCAAATTTATATTTCATGTTAGTAAAGGGAGGTAAGAAGCAATCTATTTTCGATAAGTCTAAGCCAAATTTTTCAATAAGAAATGAATGCATAGATTTTAATGATTAGTGATAATACAAAAAAAAAACATTTGCAGTACATACTTTATATATTCCTGCTTGTTTGGATATTGTTTTAGAAGAATAATTATATACATATATAAGATTTCACTTAAGTGTTGTTACATCTTTAGCTGTCCAGTTAGTTCAATAGGTAGAATGTTGGACTGTGAATCAGGTGACCCGAGTTCGATTCCCGGACGCCGCAGGTCACTTTTGTTGTGATTGATCATGAAATCTTTTCTATGGTTATTTGCACTCTGCTCTGGCATGTACAGAAGTTTCAGTTCCTTGGGAAAGTGAAGGCAATTAGTACTGATAAACTGCTTGACAACCTGCCCAGGAACAATGTGGTCTGGTAAATTCACTGTGGCTTCCTGCCGTGATCCAGAGTGAAAACTACCAACACCACAATTGTTACATCCTTAGTTACAACATACAGGATCTTTAAGTTGACATGCTTAGTAAGAACAATTAAAAAGTAATAGAAATAACAGAAAATACATGAAAATTACAGACTCATTTAGATTGAGTCTGTTTTAGATTGATAATGTAAAAGTGTAAACATATATGACTTCTTCAACTGGTCTTAAATAAGAACAATATTCACTAATTGTTTGTCTATTTCAGACATATATTGGAGATGTTCTGATAGCTGTTAACCCATTCCAGTCACTACCATGCTATGCAAAAGATGTAAGATGGTTTTTTATGCCCCCGCCATGTAATGGCCGGGGCATATAGTGTTACCCTGTTCCGTCATTCCGTCCTTCCGTCCTTCCGTCCTTCCGTCCTTCCATCCTTCCGTCCTTCCGTCATTCTGTCATTCCGTCATCATCAGTTTCCGTTCATTATCTTAAGAACGGTTGCACACATTCAACTCAAATTTGACATATGGATATGTCATGAGAAAATACAGGTCAAGTTCGAATTTGGTCATGGTTCGATGATTTTTGGCAGAGTTATGCCCCTTTTACTTTGAAAATAATATGAAATTTCAGTTTCCGTTCATTATCTCCCCAACGGTACAACACATTTAATTCAAACTTGACATATGGATATGTCATGAGAAAATACAGGTCAAGTTCGAATTTGGTCATGGTTCGATGATTTTTGGCAGAGTTATGCCCCTTTTACTTTGAAAATAATATGAAATTTTCAGTTTCCGTTCATTATCTCCCCAACGGTACAACACATTCAACTCAAACTTGACATATGGATATGTCATGAGAAAATACAGGTCAAGTTCGAATTTGGTCGTGGTTCGATGATTTTTGGCAGAGTTATGCCCCTTTTACTTTGAAAATAATATGAAATTTTCAGTTTCCGTTCATTATCTCCCCAAAGGTACAACACATTCAACTCAAACTTGACATATGGATGCGTCAAAGGAATGTGCAGGTCAAGTTCAAATTTGGTCATGGTTCAATGATTATTGTCAGAGTTATGCCCCTTTCACTTTGAAAGTAATATGAAATTTTCATTTTCCATTTATTATCTCCCCAATGGTGCAACACATTCAACTGTTTTTGGAATGCCCAGGCCAAGTTCGAGTTTGGTCATGGTTCAATGATTTTTGGCAGAGTTATGCCCCTTTCACTTTGAAAATAATATGAAATTTACAGTTTCTGTTCATTATCTACCCAACAGTGTTACATATTCAACTTAAATTTGACATATGGATATGTCAAACGAATGGGCAGGTCAAGTTGGAATTTGGTCATGGTTTGATGATTTTTTGGCAGAGTTATGTCCCTTTCACTTTGAAAATAATATAGATACATCTTAGGAATAAGCAGTTTAAGTTTGAATTTGGTTGTAGTTCAATGATTTAAGACAAACTTATCTTTCCTGAATGTTGGAAAAATTTTGAAGTTTCAGTTTCAGCACTCTTACTTTTAGCCATTATTTTGGCTACAAATATGCAATATGCTATTTTTAAAAGGTTTAGACTGAATAATTTCAGTGCCTTGAAAATTGTATGAAAATGGTTTGTGTTAACATTGAAAAGTTTTAAGGGCTTTGAACTTAAAATGAAAAAAATAATTAATGCACCATCTGAAATTTTGGCTGCATGCGGGGGCATCCGTGGCATGATGACACATTTCTAGTTTTATAATATTATATAACATTTAAAATGGAAAATTTAATTACATTGTGACTGGTGAATTAATTGAAATAAACCATGGACAGTAAACATTAAATTATCAAATTTCTCTGTCTCTGATCTCAGTTCATCCTGCAGTTGTGTTAAGGAACTTTTATTGTTTGAATGGATTTATTTGATAGAGATATAATAATTATTGTGAAATGGATTGAAATAAAGAATACCCCAAAAAATGCAAAAAAAGACATAATTGAAAATGTTGCAGGCTCAGTTTGATTGAGCCTGTTCATGGACGATATGGGAATGTGCAAGTTACCATCCTCGCCCCCTAGCTCCAGCTTAAGCAGAATTTAACATTATATCATGGTGATGGTAAAATATTTAATTTAGAAACATCAGCAGAATATGTAAGTAATCACAATTTGACTATCATTTATCTGTGGTTAAAAAATAATTTACGTTTCTTAATTTTAAAATACTAGTCTTGTCATAGTTAAAATATTTGACTTTTAACGCATAAAACATTTTTTGTCGTGCTGCAAATTAAAGAAGAAAAAATTATCATTGTTTATTTTGTAGATAACTATGCTGTATCACACTGCCATCTCAGAGACAAAACTACCACCTCATATATATGGCATTGCTGAGAAATCATACAAACGTCTTAGATTCAATAAGAAGTCACAATGTCATGTGATCTCAGGAGAGAGTGGGGCGGGCAAGTCAGAGTCATGTAAATATATCATACAACATTTGTTACGTGTTGCTGGCAGTGAAGAAACCAACCTAAACTCTAAAATCAATCAGGTGACGTTATCATTTTTATATAGAGTTTTTGATTGGTAGGCTTTAACATGTATTTCCTTTTTATGCCCCCACAATGTGGGAGCATATAGCGTTGCACTTGTCCGTCCGTCCGTCAGTCCGTCAATACGTCAGTCCGTCCGAGCCAACATTTGATTATTATGAGCTTCATTCCGTAGTTAAATAAAGAACATAAACTCATAAAATTTAAAATTAAGAGCTATTTTTTGTTTTTATGAGCTTATTTTGCTTATGGACATTGGTCCAGGTGGTGTTTATGAGCTCATTTGCCTCATAAACATCAAATTTTGGTACGGCCGTCCGTCCGTCCGTCAGTCCGTCCGTCCGTACGTCCCGAAATCTTGTGAACGCAACTCCTCTTAAACCGGATGGCAGATTTTGCTTAAACTTACAGGGATGAACAACCTTAATGTGTAGATGGTAGTAAAGGAAGGAATTTTTGCTGCGACCAAATTTAACAGAATTATGGCCCTTTGTTCATTTTTTCACTAGATACTATGTAGAAATTTTGTGAACGCAACTCCTCTTAAACTGGATGGCAGAATTTGCTTAAACTTACAGGGATGAACAACCTTTATGTGTAGATGGTAGTAAAGGAAGGATTTTTTGCTGCGACCAAATTTAACAGAATTATGGCCCTTTGTTGATTTTTTCACTATATACTATGTAGAAATTTTGTGAACGCAACTCCTCTTAAACCGGATGGCAGATTTTGCTTAAACTTACAGGGATGAACAACATTCAGGTGTAGATGGTAGTAAAGGAAGGAATTTTTGCTGCGACCAAATTTTACAGATTTATGGCCCTTTGTTGATTTTTTCACTATATACTATGTAGAAATTTTGTGAATGCAACTCCTCTTAAACCGGATAGCAGATTTTGCTTAAACTTCCAGGAATGAACAACCTTAATGTGTAGATGGTAATAAAGAAAGGAATTTTTGCTGCAACCAAATTTAACAGAATTATGGTCCTTTTTTGATTTTTAGCTCACCTGAGCTTGCTCAGGGTGAGCTTTTAGGATCGGTGAATGTCCGTCGTCCGTCGTCCGTCCGGCCGTCCACAATTGCTTGTGAACACTCTAGCGGTCGCATTTTTGCGATTTTTTCAATCATCATCAAACTTGGTCAGGATGCTTATCTAGTTGAAAGCTCGGATGAGTTCGAACATGGGTCATCTCGGATGAAAAACTAGGTCACAAGAGCTAAAAATAGAAAAACCTTGTGAACACTCTAGAGGTCACATTTTTGACCCAATCATCATCAAACTTGGTCAGGATGTTTGTCTAGGTGATAGCTTGGATGAGTTCGAACATGGGTCATCTCGGATGAAA